TATATATATAATGCTAAAAGGGGTATTTATTGTGTATTTCTCTGATTATTGTTCTCTAACTCGTCCTAACACATTGGCTTTCTGTATTTTTGACACATGCATCCTCACATACACAGACACACTCATTACAAGATGTCAGGAGTCAGCTGCCCAAGGCAAGCTGCAGGGTCACACTCTGACAGCCATGACTAAAAGGTTTTCCCTTCAAGGGGCAATTATGCATGTGGATTTTGAGTGTGTATCTGTGGCACTGCAGGTGACACTAACTGAGAAAGACAGTGACAACAGACTGAGATAGACAGGAACGAGGGGCTTAAACCTGTGAGACAGAAAATGTGTACATGTGAGAGTAAGACAGAACTGGGGAACTCTGTGTAATTAAAGAATATGATGTCTACTGCTAACACAAAGAATAACTTAACAGGGGGGATAGACAGGCCAAACCATAGAAAGGTGAACATCGACATAACTATCCTATAAGAAAGAAATACTACTAAATGATTGAACATTGCCTCTGTCTCACTCCTTTTCTCTGACACTCTTTCTGCCAGGATAGTTTTGCCTGTCCAACCACTCAACAAAACTGTCTTGGAGTTGATAAGGCTGTCACTCTCCAGAGAGGAGGTCAGTCAAAGTAGTTGAGTGCAGAAAATTTGCCTCAGGCCTGGCGAGTAGAGTACATAGAAAGAGATTTGCAAACATTGGCTTGTCATAAAGACAGACAGGTAGACAAAGACAGACCTGGCAACACAACTAACTGCACACAGAATGGGGAATTCACAAAGAATGAATTGCATTGTTCATTTGCATGCACTGTTTCAGTTGTTTTAGTTCCCAATTTACTAAAGGTTTATGCAAATTAAGTAATGGTGCAAACACACCCACGTTTTTGTGAATTGGTTCTGAGTGCTAGCTTGTAGTATAATTATTATTATTAGTGTCTATTATAAGCCTAATTAACATAGAAAGCAGGCATGTTTCACGCTAAAATACTATATGGTAATGTGCTACATTCTTGAATTTGCCCCAAAATGAAGTAGAAACAAATGACACTCTCATGCTATAACTACACACAAGCTGAACACAGAAGAAATCCAATAGCTACAAAGCCCGATGCAAGCTTCTGTTGATATGTGTTGTGTCCAAATGTGTGTACTGTTTACTAATGCATTGGCACTTTAAAACTTTGATTATAATGCCAATACCGCTTTTGAATCCGAATCAGAATAGGATTTGCCTCAGGCCTGCCTGAGCAGACTGCAGAGACAGAGATTTCTCTTAAGACTAGTGAATTGACTGCCAAAGCCAGAGTTCCACTGAAGATAATGAAGGCATTTATCATATGCCACTACTGTCAATGATGGACATTCATCACATGGATAAAGAGAGAGAGAGAGAGAGAGAGAGAGAGGGAGGCTCGCTGGAAGTAGACACGCTTGCATACATATACACATAGCATAGTAACACAAGTCTACTTCCTAGACGTAAAGTAGTTTCTTAATCAGTTTTCCTAACCTTATTTTCCAGTAAAAATAAACATACTTAAAACAAGATAAATTTACATTAGATAACTGCATAAAATAAGACTTGTTTTCAGAGAATACCTTAAATTATTTTTTTCTTTTTACCCCACAGTGTTTCTTGCTGTATGCACAACTATTTTATAATGAGGTTTATGTTTAAAACAAGTGGGTAACTTCAAAATATATTCTCAGAAGAAAGTCTTATTATATTACTTTTGCTTCTCAACTAAATTTGTCTTGTTTTAAGGATGTTTAGATATTTTTTATAGTAAAATACTGATTAATGAAAGTGTCCATTTAGAACAAATCAAAAGATATACAGTACATACATACAAATGCACATCTGATTTTGAATCAGTAATCAAATCTTTAGTGCATTACTTGAAGTGATTTGATATGAAAGAAGCTGGCTGCCGCAGGATGATGCGGAGAAAAATAAGGCTGACAGACACCACTCATTCATGAATCAATGTGATTTTCTAATGAAGCCTTCGCTCTGTTTGGGATGCTCTGTGGGAGCTCTGACCATGCCAGTTAACATGCACAAACCAGCTCGGGGCATGCCTGGATATTCTCAATTATAAATGATTTTCATATTTCCTGAGTTTAAAAAGCGAGACAGATGGAGACCACTTAACGAGTCATGGCGCTCTAAGAGAAATTTTACTGCACATTACCCTAATGGACTTCTTTTCTCTCTCGCTCGCTTCTGTCCACTGTCTCTCTCTTTCTCTTAATCTTTCACTCACCCTTATTTTGCTTTGCTCTCTCTCTCTAACATGGTTGAGAGGTAATTACTGTCATTTACTTCTACTGTGGCCGTTAAGCCGATGTCCGTGACCATGCTGCGAGTAGCTGTACGCTCTTTTACTGTAATTACCTGCTAACGTACGGCTGCCAACTCAACGTTAGATAGGAAGTTTCTGTGCAAATGCTTTTCTTTTCCCATCACGCACACCCTCTGACCCCAGAATGTGTCTGTTCTCGACCAGCCATATGCTGATTTTATACACACACACCTACTCACACATGCACATACCCCACTTGTCCATTCATGTGGAAAACAGTAACATTCAATGCAGATTGACAATGTTTAAACAAAAACATGAAATATGGAATGTCAGAAAGAAATAAACTGTTTCTACAGCTAATAAAGTAGATAAGCAGAACACCTCATGATCTAGTCTTGAGTTTAACAGTGCAGGTGTGTGATTTGGCCAGTCTTGTGTCAAGTGCTAAGTCTTTAGGAATTTACGAAGGAATTTATGGGTCATATTGCAGCCCAAAATAAAACAACCACATAAGAAGTCATCAGGTTTCTAATTGTGACATTATATTCATCACTGTAATGCAGAAAAAATATATTAATACATAAAAATTGAAAGTTTTTATAATTAAAAAAATATTGACAATGATTCATTTTTATTAATACTAATAACTGTCACAAAAGTTACGTATACTGCCAATAATCGTATGACATATCAACTAATGGACGATATTAGGCATTTTATAGGTATCAATATTAAAGTTAATCTTTAAAAACATGAATCATTAAATAACACTGCCAAATATAAATCTTAAAATTAATGTCAATTTAATGTAATGTTAATAATTAATGTAATGTTCATACTGTAATGGTATATGTTATAAATATTATGTTGTGATCGTTATATTTATTTGTGGCATTTAAAATGACTGATTTTAGTTTTTAATTATTTTATTTTTAAATTTATGGAATTTTAATATCAGCATTTAATTGTTTATCAGTCATAACATGAAAGTAATTATTGGTTTATTGGTATTAGCCAGGATTTTAATATTAGTGCATTCCTAATAATAATACAGTAATGTCACAATAAGAAAATACATGCCAAAACATCCCTTACGAAAATTAACCATGATTTTATTATAGTAAATGTGTAGTAACCGAGTTTTTTTTAGCATATAGATATTGATATAGATTACCATTTGTATAACCACAGTTTTACTACAAATACCATGGTTAAACTATATGGTTAGTGTAGCAAAACCATGGTTAATTTGTGGTTACCATAGTTTAACTATAGTAACCATGTTTTTTTGTTTTTTTTAACAATGGTTAATTTTTGTAATATTGGATATTTTAGAACAAACAAGACAAATGTCTTGTCAATACCATATTTTAGAATTAAGACTTAAGACTTTGAGACATGGCCACAATCACACAATCTTTCTAAAATCTAAATCATCTTAATCAATATGCATTTGCTGTTTCTACATCTCTAATTTTGGGGTGTTAAATGGTTTATATCTTACAAGCACATCGCTGTTTGTCTTGAGGACAAGTCTGGGCGTGTCTTTGGACAAGCTGTGGTGTGGAACGCCCTCCTCCTCTCTGGCCTAAAGGAAAAACATAATGTCCCTTTTTATGCATGGCCAAAACTGAAAATAAACACACACATAACAGATGTAGAAAAGAAAGAAGGAATGATGTGAATAAGGAAATGGAGTGAGAGAATAAAAACAACATGTGCTGACCTGAATAGACATATAGAAAAAAGAGACATTCTGTGTGAGTGTGTCTGTCTACATTCAAATTCTGTAATCCAAGGTTATATATTAGTATGGTAGACTGAAACAAGAACAGTTTTCAATTATATAAGATTCTTAAAAAAAAAATCCTTGAAATATCTCAATTAAAAGCTGAAAAAAAAAGATTCAGAAATATTCTAGAATATTAGGGGAGAAAGCACAGCTGATACACTCAACACTAAAATAAATGAAATATCATAAAATAGCACTTCAAAGAAAACAATGAGTTTTATATAGTATCCTGCATTTATTCTGTCTCTGAGCACCTGAATGCCACTGCTGACAAACACCTCACTCACAAAAAAACTGAAGAACATCAGTCTCCGCATACACACACTTGTGCCATCTTCAGTCTTTATTTTGTGTAGTGTCTGTGACCCCTCTGGACTTGAGCCAACTCATTTACATATAGCACTAATGAGGCTCTAACACTCACACAAATGGCATATCCGCAGTCTTAATGACTTGAGGCATGCCAGTGCTCTAAATAATAACCACACACGCCATTCTTTTGCACTGTGAAGCCTCTTTCATACACACAGTCACAGATGAAGCCACATGCAGACACACAAAACTCACTGAACCTGATGGCTTATAAAGTAACCAAAAACTGCAGAGCTTGATAGTGTATGTGAAGACAACTCTGTGCCTCCGTATTGTAAAACATGCCCCAAATTGCTACAGTGTGTGTGTGTTATGCCACCTGGGCTTTAGCATTTCAACCACATCTCTGCCAGCCTCCATCTGGGCATCACACAACCCAACCCAGGTGTGTGTGTGTGTGTGTGTGTGTGTGTGTGTGCCTTTTGCACATTGCCAGGTAAAATGTACTTCTCCAAGGACAGAGATGGGAACACATATGAGGCACATTCTGAAAAGCCCATACACACACACAAACACACACACACACACAGACTCACACATCTGAGAAAAGCACATTCGCCATCTATCTATCTATCTATCTATCTATCTGCTGACAACAAGGTTTTCATTTGCTGAAAAATTTAAATACATTGTGTCATTTCACTTGCCAAATCGAAGTCAAATTAATTAGGAAAGTGTACAGTATATAAAAAGGAAGAGGTTTTGTTTTTCTGTCATATGGGTAAAGCAATGCATTTGTTAGTTGACATTAACCCATTAACTCTATATAAGCATTTTTCCACTGCTCTGACATGTTGCCCAGGGTGCGTCTGCTAATATGTGAGTGGCTAGAGTGGCCAAGTCTGTGTATGTGAGAGACAGTGATTTGAGAGTGTGTATGTTTGTTCTCCTGGCTAGAAGCGATGAAATAATCACCCTGCACCGTGAGTCACAACACCATGGCAACAAGACCTGAGGAAGCAGAGGCCCAATAGCTTCAACACTTACACACACACACACACAGACAGCTAAAAGAGTTTGTTTCAGAGATAGAGAAATTGTAATCTAACATTCAAAATAGAAAAGAATAAATCAGTTGCATGTTTGTAAGCCTGCAGTAACTAAGTTACTGGTTATAGATGTATGAATGTTCTCATTTGTTATGAGTATATTAATGATATATGTGTATATAAATCAACATCACCATTTACTGGCTGATAATTTACGCTCTGTCAGATTTTAACACTGTAATAACATTTAGGAGAGTTACAATTTCTCCTGACACACATACACACAGGTTTGTTTTTGTGAAAAGTGGGGACATCCCATAGGCGTAATGGTTTTTATACTGTACAAACTGTATGTGCTATTGCCCTACACCAACCCTACCCCTAAACCTACCCCTCACAGGAAACTTTGCGCTATTTCAGATTTTCAATACACTCCATTCTGTGTGATTTATAAGCGTTTTGAAAAGTGAGGACATGGGGTAATGTCCTGAAAAGTCACCTTCTCCTTGTAATACCTATGTCATACCCTTGTCATTATACAAATTTATGTCCTCATTTGTCACAAAAATGTGCGCACACACACACACACACACACAGTGCAGGAGAAAAGCACGGGCAGAATGAAGCATGAATGAACCAGTAGATGAAGAAAAGAATGGAAAAAGTCAAGAAAAGGATGTTTAACTAAGATCCAACACACACATTTCCAATGACTTGGTATTTTCTGTCCCCTAAATTTAAAGACCTAACCCTCACACAAAGACATTATTTAGGCCCAATCCCAATTCTACCCCTTAGCCCTTCCCCTTTCCTCTACCCATCCGTTTCGCGCGTTCACGTGAAGGGGTAGGGGTGTCTCGATTCTCTTTTGGTCGGAGGGGTAGGGGTAAGGGGTATGAATTATTTCAGTGTAAACCGGCTTCAGGGGCAACATGGCTGCCCGAGCGAACAAAAAGACACATAAATGTA